TCCTCACGTTTGAGTTCGATCGGAAACTGAAACCAAGTAACGCAGTGGGCAATCCAGAAGTGCACGGATTTTCGGACGGGGGAGAGCAGGCGTTTGGTGGAGTTATTTTCCTGCGCTGGGAGCTTGATGATGGAAGTTATCGTTGCGTCGCTGTCATGGTGAAGCCATTCGTTGCACCTCTAAAGAAGAAAAGCATTCCAAGACTGGAACTTTTGGGTTGTTTGGCTCTCTCCAGAATGTACGACACTTGTCGGAAAGCCCTAGAGTTCGTGAATATGAAGGACTTTAAAAGAATCTTTTGGATCGACTCAACAACTGTATTATCATGGGTCAGGACTCCACCACGTCAATTCAAGCCTTTCGTATCGAGCCGAGTTGCTGAAATTCAGGAAACGATTGGCACAGAGGACTTCCGCTATGTCAGATCGAAGAGCAATCCAGCTGATGGTCTCACACGGGGAATCGAACCAGCCGAATTAGCAAATTGGTTGGCAGGTCCATCATTCCTGAAGTTTCCCGAAGCCCAGTGGCCAGAGTTCCACGAAGATCTCAGATTATCCAATTCAGTATGCCAGGAAACAATGAAAGAGAAGAAATCATCATTTTCATCCAATTGTAACAAGGAAGTTAATGAAGTCAACGTCTGTTTAGCTACTGAAGAGAAGAAAGAAAATCCCATTCTTTGTCACTTGATGGCGGCTTGTTCTTCATTTTCAAAGGTTCGGAGAACACTGGCTTACATATTGCGATTCACACAAAATGCAAGAAAGATCAATATGAAAAAAGGGACTATTACCGCTCAGGAGCTACAAATATCAGAAAAATACCTTTTTAAGTTGTGTCAAGACTCCCTAGACCTATCCCGCTTCGAAGAAAAACTTCTTCCAAGGACGGACCAGGATGGCCTTCAACGAGCACACGGACGCCTGGAAGAGATCAGATCACTCTCAGAGGAAATGAGAAATCCAATCATCTTACCACGCAACCACCCACTGGTCAAATTACTTCTGCAGCACCTCCACGACAAACGGCGACATTGCGGTTACAAGAGCTTAATGCACGAGGCAAGAAAGAGGTTCTGGATCATCGGTCTACGTAGTATGTGTAAACAACTTACGAGAAGATGTATCATCTGTAGAAAATTGCGAAAGAAACCCCTCGACCAACTGATGGGCCAAATCCCAAGTCTTCGAGTCGCGGCCGGACTGCCACCATTTTCCAATACCGCAATGGACATGTTTGGACCGGTGCAGATCAGAATGAACAGAAAGACACTCAAGGAAGCCCAAGTGATAATCTTTACCTGCATGACGACCAGAGCAGTTCACCTGGAACTCGTCACCGATAAAAGCACAGAGACATTTTTGTTGGCATTTCGCCGTTTCGCATGCTTACGCGGCCATCCCAATGTCTGTTGGTCAGACTGTGGTACTAATTTCGTCTGTTCACAAGGTTATCTGAACGAAATAATGAAGAATTGGGACAACGCTAGAATCCAGAGTGTACTGACCGAGGAGTTCTCGTGCGATTTCAAATGGCTGTGGAATGTGCCTCATGCCAGTCATCAGAACGGTGTCGTCGAGTCTCTTATTAAGTCCGTCCGACAAGCCTTCAATGTTACCTGCAAGAGTCAAGCGTTTACGGCAGAACAGTGGTCAACATTCCTCGCAGAAATCAGCTACGTGATCAATAGTGGCCCTTTGTATCCCAGTTCGGATGGCGTTTGGGAGAGTCCACCAGTAACACCGAATGATATCCTTCTTGGGCAGCATAATTCACCACCTCAGCCAACCCCGGAAGATAGAATCAACCCAAGAGATCTTTTACGATGCACACAAAACAGAATCGTCGATTTCTGGAAATGCTGGTTGAAGCATTTTGCACCCAATCTATTACCCCGCAACAAGTGGTTCCGAAAAAGAGACAACGTTCAAGTAGGGGACCTGGTTCTGGAGCTTGATCCAAAACATAAAAGATGCCAATGGAAGATGGCACTTATCACCGAAGTTCATCCCGGAAGCGACGGCCTTGTGAGAAAAGTAAGAATGAAGACGCAAACAGGAGAATATGACAGACCCATCCACAAGCTGTGTCTTATAGCCACCAGAGAAGAACTTGATGCAGACTAGTATAACTAGAACAGAATGATTGTAGTGACAATGGATTCTTTGCATTCCTAAAGTATTTTCAGTATATTGTGTTAGACGTTGCTCAATTAGAGATTTAATTTCCGCACTGGGGGAGAGTGTTAAGATATTGCGATCGCCGGTGTTGAGAGGGGAGTGGGACGGAGGAAGTGAAACGGCGAGGAAGCTTCGCGGAATTGGAAAGAAAGAAACTAAAAAAGCGAACTTGTTATGTTAAATACAGTGAACAAAAAACTTAAAAATAATAACTTAGGAAAAGGCAAGGATACTCAGATTATGCCTCACGAATTGTAAGTCAGTCTTGCTGCAACCTTCAATTGTCAGTATATCTGAGTTGTTGTAATAGCTGTAATTTTGCTTGATTTATATAGTTGACTATTTACAAAATAAAGTATTAGTGCAGAAAGAGAAAACAGATTTGGGTATTTCAATGTGATTTGCTTCAAACAAAGTAGCGTCTCCCCGGTTGGCGTAGATGCGAAACAGTGCAATATTCCTGTTTAATTAAATCTGATTTCGTGTCGACCATTGATATATGCTGATTCAAGTATAAACTCGATAGTTCATAGTGTTTAATTGCCGGTATCAAACTTATAATTTTACATTAAAATTTATAGGGGTTGATATTTATTATGTTACTCTGAGTGTGTATCCACACTGGGCAAGCTTGAAAAATATGCCTGGCAAGGGTGGGAATCGAACCTACGACCTTTGGAATACTAGTCCAATGCTCTGCCAACTGAGCTACACGGTCAGATTGGTTTGAGTATGTGATATTTCGGAACTGACTCTACTTCCTTCGACATCAATGTAATCTAATAATCATGATTTTTTGTGTGTGTTGGTGTTGTGTACTCAGGTGAATATGATACCGGTATTTGTGATGTTACTCTGAGTGTGTATCCACACTCGGCAAGCTTGAAAAATATGCCTGGCTACAGTGGGAATCGAACCTACGACCTTTCGAATACTAGCCCAATGCTCAGCAAGCTTGCCCGGTGTGGATACTCACTCAGAGTAACATCACAAATATCATATTCACCTGAGTACACAAGACCAACACAAAAAAATCATGTTTATAGGGGTTGTTCATATGAGAATGTCTATATAAGGGGCCTGTTTAAATGGAGGCAAGTTACCCGGCAAGGGGAGTTTATATGATACAACCTGGCAACTCACCTTGGCAAGTTCTGGCAGAAAGACACAAAATCTTGCCCAGGTGAAATGACTTATTTTACCATCCATGTAAACACTTTACTCAGGAAAGGTAGAAATTTGTCTTGCATTTAAAATAATAGCTTACAAATAAATATGAATCATTAGATATCAACTTTCCTGAATTTCTTGGCATTAATTCTTGTATTATCATTATATTTTGTATGTAATGTTTTTTAAATCTTTTAAGCGACTTTGTGTTTTGCACAAATTTATGCTAAGTTTCTGTTTATATGGAATTTGCTTAGCAAATGATATATAAGCCAATTCCATACAAGCAGTAACTTGCCTTGCTTGCATGGCTAACTCACTCGCCTTTGTATTTACAGGCCTCAACCATCCGGCAATCTAGCTGGCTAGTTTCTGTGTGAATTGCAACACACAGGACAGGCTATCCCACAAACTAACAAGAAATTTCCCCTGCATTATTGGCAAGAAAAAGGAAGTTTATGCTTATTTCTTATGCCTACTTATTTCCAACTGAGGGGATAGAAATAATATCTGGGCTAATTCAGCCAAGTTTATCCATTCCTGTTTTGCTTTGAATTGAATACATGTTGATTTTTTATAGATTCTAAGATCATACATAATTTTCAAAATTTGCATGGAATATTCAGCTCTGGAAAGAAGTCCAAGCACTAAAGGTTTGTAATTATGAAAATAATTTAGCTTCCAAATCTGTCCACCATGCAGTAATTGACCTTGTCTTGATGTTCACATCTTCAATTTAAAAGCTCTTTTCCACTCATTGCAAAACCAAGTGACCAGCCTGCTGTGAGTGCTTCCATCTGATTGAAATAAACTGTTGAGTATTGTGATTGGATAATGTCTTGTAGCTAGCTTGCGAGTTGGTTTTTGCCATGAGTGGAGGAAGGTCTTAAGTCTGTTATGTTCACACAGCCAATGTGAAAGTCTATTTTATTTTTACTTTATATTTCAATGACTATGTAATTAATCATATATCATGCATACTGTACATCCATGTAATTCTTTGTTAGGATAACGAAGACCATGAAGTTTGGTGCTCCAAAC